CTATGGGGTAATGAACTCAAAGGGGCACTTTAAAATCACATGAAATGGCATTTTTAATCTTGATTTTATACAATTAAGCACAAATAAAACCAACAAACGTGTTCCTTTATTAAACCCATTTGTGTCTGCATTGCAAAGTATGAGGGCAAACTGCTTTCTTTTAATCACTTGTGTAATTCTTTTTATTATTGATTTCTTTCTGACTTCGTAGCTCTTTTTGGAAATGTGTGACAGACCTTAATGTTTGAAATAAGGGGGGAAATCTTAGTCTGAACAAATCAACACAGCAATGAACTGCATAGACATAAAACATAAAATGTTTTCTTCATTCCTGTGTTGCGTTATGTTTACTTGCAACAAACAAGTCTAGACTATGTTGGGAATGGGTGTGGGTGTGCTAACCCATAAATCAATAAAACAAAGCACAAGATCATTGTAATAAGTCTTAGCAATACTGCAGTTTGCCTCCCCACCATGCATCCCTCCGGCTTGCAGGTACAAAAGGCTTAGCTGTGCCAATATATAGTAAGTACATCTAGCTTGTCTACTTGTTAATGATTCTGTAATTGCTCCAACACAGTATCCCTGTTCAGGCATTATTCCTAAATGGGCTTTATTTATTTATTTATTTATTTTGTTTGTTTGTTTGTTTGTTTGTCTGTTTGACTTCTATATCACCCTTCATCATAAGATTCCAGCCTCTCCCCCCCCCAAACCACCTGTGTGTCTTCACACCCACAACCTTCCCATGTTAAGCAGGACTGTCTGAAGGCGGAGTCTAAGGACACTTGGGTTAGGGGTCTCAGTGTCAGAGGCTTAGTGCTGTCCAGCTGGCCATAGATAAGACTCCGGGCTCCCAGCCAGTTCCAAACAATTGATTTATTTGACAAAGTTCAAACATACATCTCCAGCGTTTCCATTAGCATCCTTCCCCTTGTGCGCAGTTGCTCCCTCTAATCTTTCTTCCTCCTTTTCCACACCCAGCATGCAAGTCTGCAAAAACTCCTCCCCTTACTTCCTCTGTGCCCAGAATGACTTGTTCCAGGCTCATCCTCCTCCCCCTCTACGTAAGACCCATTCTCAGACGAGAAGCTACTGATAATATCTTTAGGCTCTCTATAACTGCTGGTTTCTGTCCTTTCATCTTGTCCCATTTGCCTCTCCCTGACACTCAGTAACATGAATGGTTGTCAGTGTGCTCATCTACTGCATTATCCAAAATGCATTGTAGGAAAATTGGGGGAGGGAGGCACAACAATATATACTTCTAATAAAAATATTGGCATATCCCTAGTTGTATCAATAACTTGACTGGGAGCATGTGCATTGGCTTTTGTCCCCCCCTCCCCAAATTTTCCATGCAATGCCACATTCTGTTGCCGGGAGATATGGTTGTTGCTTGCCATTTTCTTGCCTCTCCACTATTCCACTATGTTTTCCATGGAGGCAAAAGTGCGTGTTTTTCCATTTTGAAAAGACATACAAATTTAAGAGGATGAATCTGTTCAGTGATGTCCAGGTGCAAGAACCATGTTGAACCATCTTCCTTTCTACCTCAATAGCAATTTCCATAATTCAAGAAAACTGGAAAGGCCTTGCTATTAATTCCATGATCTATTTTTAATTGGAAGTACTGCAGTTGAGTGTGTGTGTGTGTGTGTGTGTGTGTGTGTGTGGTGAGGGGAAAGAGGACTCTTGGTGTTGAAGCTGAAATTTATTTATGCCAATTTCATTTATTCATATTTACCTTTGGATCAGGATGCCCAAAGAAGGCCATATCAGTATGCTGCAGATGTGTTGACTCTGCGTATCAGCCGTTGGCTTTTGTCATGCACTAACATTATATTCAATAGGAAATTATTTCAGGCTACCATCATTTGTCTACAGTACTTTGAAGAAAAAGGGTTTTCTCTACACCCTAGAAGCAGGAAGGGGAATTCTGTTCTATGGTTTTATAATTACCTATCAAGCTAGTTTTTCCACTACAGATAATGCATTTGTGACAAAAGATAGGATTTTAAACATTTGGACACCCCCCCGACTCTTCAACATTAAGTTTACAGAACAGCTTCCAATACAATAAACAAAGCAACAATAAGTTAACATTTCCAACAAGTATAACAAACGGTGGCAGCCTAGTGAGTTAAAATTCCAGTTAAAAGCACAGCCAGTGTTTTGAATGAATTACAGTTTCCAAAGAGTCTTCAAGAAAAGCTCGGGGTACAATACTTGTCATCCAAATGGGTATTAGCATCAGTAAAATGACTAGGCTATCACTTTTTCAGTATTATTGCAGCTGGCAAGCCAACTTCAACTAATGAAAAGTGCTTCACGAACAGAAGCCATTTGGGCTTGCAACAATAAGACTGGATCACATACCCACACTGTGGACCTGGTCCACAAGTCCCATCTAGACAAAGTTGAACACCACGTCCCTGAGCAGAGGTGGCATCTATCAATAGTACCTCCCTCTTGTTTTGATTTGGCTTTAGTTCATTGGCCTTTATCTGTATGACAGTTGATAGAGAGAGGAGCCTGATGGAGCTGGCTTCCCAGCAGTTCTGCTAGAGTAGCTGGTCCCCCACCTCTCTCTCTCTCTCTCTCTCTCTCTCTCTCTCTCTCTCACACACACACACACACACACACACACACACACAGAGCTCCTAATAGAATTGCTAGTGAAAGAAAACAGGTGAGGGAGAAGAAAAGCCTTCTGGAGCTGGAATTTATAGTTTAAACTCTTATCTCTGACAAAGAAAAATCAACCGACATTCAGTAAACCTAGCTCATATAGAAGCCCTTCCTGACCTGATCTGATTTTTTAAAAAGATTTTTCAGCCTTTCTGAATAGGTATGAATTTCCAGAACAAAGGAGTGACCACTCAGAAGTGCCTAGTTTGCTTACCCTCTTGGTGCACTTCAAATGGGAAAGAGATCCTAAGTCAGGGAACCTCAGATGATCTAAAACACTGTGGTGGGTGGCTGGGGGCAGAGTAATGAAACCACCAGTTTAATACTGTATTTGGCTTTTGTTTGCTAGAATAAGGTGACTAGTAGTATGCAGCAGTAATGTTTCAAAATTTGCCCTATTACACCTTCAAGTTCAAGTTGTTATTTTAGGTTTACTGGGCATAGGTGTATTTAGCAGTATTATATTCTCTTCATCTTCATCTTCTCCTTCCTTAAAAGCATTCTGAAGAATTAACATTCTTACTTTACTGTTTCTTGGGGACTATGCTTAGAACTTAAACACACATTTCCTTAATGTAAAATAAAAGTGAAAAGATACAAAATGAGAGTGTTTCATTATGTTTCATTCTGCTTTTTTTCCTCTCTTGCCACTGGAGAATCTCATTACATATCCAGCAAAGGAAAAGCAAATGAGCCATGAAAGACCCCTGTAGCTTCCTTCACTGTTGAGAATAGTGCCAGACATTAACAAAAATGTTAATATTAGGTACAGCCTTTAATTCAATCAGTCATTGGCTTGCTAATAGCATATTATGAAGACAATCTCCTAAATAAGTAGAAGGGATGCCCATGAAGCTTTCCTCCCATATTGCAAAATAAATGAAAGGAAGGGTCATTTTCGACTTGCTGTTTTAAATCATCTCTCTTTGCCTGGACCACAGAAAACAAAATAATGAAGTTTAAATGGAAGACCTTTGAGATCGGTAACATTATGCTACCTGTAAGAAGTTACATCCATGATAGTTGCCCCCATGCTCCCAAAAGGAAGACATGTGATAATAAATGTGGTAAAGACTTGCAGCTTTATTAACTGTAACATCCAAGGATCTGCAGCAAACAGGGCTGAATAACTCAATCCAAGCAGGCAGCTTATCTGGGGAAGAAAGATGGGAGCTTCTTACCAATACCCCTGGTTCTGAGCACCTGATCAATAAGTTAAGTTGTCCATGCCCTTCCTTAATTCCTCACTCAAAGTCAAGCTGAGTGAGCACTGTAATAGATGTGTGTTAATCTGTGTTTACAGTGGTACCTCGGGTTACATATGCTTCAGGTGACATACGCTTGAAGTTACAGACTCCGCTAACCCAGAAATATTACCTCGGGTTAATAACTTTGCTTCAGGATGAGAACAAAAATTGTGTTCCGGCGGTGCGGCAGCAGCAGGAGGCCCCATTAGCTAAAGTGATGCTTCAGGTTAAGAACAGTTTCAGGTTAAGAACGGACTTCTGGAATGAATTAAGTACTTAACCCAAGGTACCACTGTATTTCTATTTCTTTCTAGATCATGGCATTAATAATAAGGTTAGCATTAATATGACAGGACCCTCCATGATGAACTTTGCTGACCCTTGTACAAGCCTGATTCCAGCCTTGCCTCCTGTAAAGTATTCATCCTGACCTATCTATATATGACCTAAAGGTTAACACAAGCAAATTTAGTTTCCAAGTAGAGGGAGCCATCCACACAATAGTAAGGTGATTTGAAAGCAGACAGCAGACAAGAAATGGCCAAGTTCAGCTAAGGCAGGCATAGCCAAACTTGGCCCTCCAGCTGTTTTGGGAATACAACTCCCATCATCCCTAGCTAGCAGGCCCAGTGGTCACGGATGATGGGAATTGTGGTCCCAAAACAGCTGGAGGGCTAAGTTTGGCCATTCCTGAGTTAAGGGCTCACTATCAAAGTTTCTCACCCTTTTGTTAAGCAAACAGGATGGCCAGTTTTCAGTCTCACAAGACTGAAAGCCAAGAGAGCATCTTTCGCTCAGTAGATGTTGCTTCTTCGATGCATGTGGTGAAAGAGAGAGGTGGCTGCCCTGCCCTGTGCTTTTGTCATTACCTGCACAGGTGAGGCCACACCCACCTCCAGTCACATGCGGAGGAAGTCTGCCCCAGCCCAGAAGGAAACAGGAAGTTTACCTGCTGGCTGGACAAACATCCCTCCCCATGTGTAAACATATTCACTCTAGGAATGTTGTACTTGACTGCTCTTGTGTTTCACATTCCGCAATGCCTTAACTGCCACTCGAGCTGAAGGCCGTGGCTGAGGACTCCCTGATGACCCAGCCCCTGCTGTGTTCAGAGGCCACATGGCCTGACCACAACACCACCCCACTCGGAAGTGGAGCGGCCTTCTCTTCAACTTCTTGCTCTTAGTGTGGGTTTATATCCCAATTTTGTTTCTGTAAAAAATAATTTCTAGATCTTATTGTATTTACATTAAGTGTAAAAGGAGTCAGATTTAATGTTTCCTATTCTATCTGCCTGCTTTAACAAGAATCATTTTGAATTTATATTTGCTGCTGCAGCTCTTTAGAACTTAAAAACTACACAAAACCATCAATTATATAACATGTTACTTTTTGAACACAAAGGTTAATTAATTTATTTTGCGGGGGGGAGCGTGTAATTGACTGAGCAAAGTGAGGCTTCAGTTTGTGGCAAATGTTCAGCTTCTGGTGTTGATGTTTTTGGATGTGTCCTTTCGCTACTACTCATAGTTATAAAATTTGGTATGTATATTCGGGATCTTAATCTACAGTTCAGGTTCAAAAAACTGTCTCTTCATCTACCCCAAGCCTGTGGGCCTAATTAGCTTCCCCATTCAGTGTAATAACATTCCCATAATCCTTTTATCCTATTCTTTATTTGAATGTTAGAAAAGAATTGCTTCCCTTTGTGGCCTATCTTTAATTTTTAAAAAAAACCCTTTCTACTATAAGATTGCTTATTTAATCAGTTTCTAAAACTGGACTTTAAAACCATTTTCACAAATAACTAGGAAATGAATTTTGTTATAACCAATACACCTTAAAACTATGTCAAATATGTTTTAAACCGGAAATCCAATACATCTGATACTGGTGCCGCATACATGAATACTCTGAGTGGCCTCTTATATGAGGCTTCATAAAAACCTCATACCCATCACAAATGAGTCCTCAATTCTCAAGGGCGGGGTGGGTGAGAAGCAGCAAGGAAGCAGTGACTTATGTGACACTTTGCAAGTTTTGCATGGCCTTGAAGTGCTAACACAGGTTGATTGGCCTCTGCAAAGCAGTAGAGAGGTCCAGTGTATGGCAGGATGCTTCCTAGAACCCCCTTGAACAAAGATGGAACCTGGAGATGGAACCCCCATCAGTCCCAGCTAGCATGGGCAATAGTCAGGGAACTGTAGTCCAACAATAGCTGGGGGCTATTCTGGCACCAGACGCTACTCTAGATTCTGATACCCCCCCCCCTGCCAACTCTGCAGGTGAATGACCCCAGGTAGAACCCTAAACCCTTCAATAACTTCTAGGCTGAGCAAAATTCAGCAACAACTTTATAGCTGACAGGTAAATCAGTCTGCTGGCTAGAATGGGTTGCATAGTTTCCATGTGCACATGAACTGCATCCCTGGACCACCTTAGCCAGAGGCCTTGTACGTCGTGTTCATATTTTTCTAGAATAAGGCATACTGAATTAAAGAGATTTGCTCTTTATAAGAAGCAGCACATTCTCTGCCTTATTCATATGAATGAAATAGTGCATTTGCACATGAATTTCATAGTCTTTAAAGATGCTAAAGTGCTTTGCCACTCTCATGACCATTTTACACCTGCAGCACAATCAATCTGCATATTTTTTTCTAAATCAAGCCAATTGGTCTGAACATCTTTGCTGCAGATCGTTTTCCTTGACAGTTCAGTAATAATAGTATATCATTTAGAAGAGAAACTTTTCCTTTTTAAATGGACCCAGCTGTACCAGTACGATAGCTATATCGTACTTTTGAATCATAATAAAAGATGTAATTCCCAGTGGCATTTAGTGTCAAGTCTACTTCTACCAACAGCTAGAATCCTGTCCCAATTTGTTTAGTTAATCGTGCAGTCACTTGAAGTAGTGCATCAAATCTCTTTCTTTCCCATTTGTTTCCTTTTACATTTATTTAGTTTCATGAGATCTAAGAATGAGAATCATGTAATTAAAGGCTTGTGCTGATAGCCTACCAGCTGCAACATTCTTCAACAACATTATTTACATTCAAATATAGGTCCTACATTTAGATTTCCTTTCTTTCTTTTAAAAAATATTTTTAGATCCCCCCCCCAAAAAAAACCCCTAGATATCTTGAGATTGCATCAAAGGCTAGCCTCTGTTGTTATGGTCACATTGTTGACATATTAGTTGAAAAGAGCATCTGTTCCGTTTATCTAGCACCTTGCATATTACCGGTATTTATGGAATCAATTAAAACAGATCAGTGGCAGTCTGAAGCAGTTTGGCAAGGTAGAATATTAACCTTGCTGAATTTAGTAGTTCACACACGCAGTAACATTTCTTATTCTGTCATCATTTAGTTAGTCAGCATGTAATGACTTAAAGCTGAATATGAAGAATTTATCCTTTGAAAAGTATTGTGACTGAGGAAACTGTGGCTGCTAGTATGGAAGTTCTGTTTGTGATGAATAACCAGAGATGGCTTATTGGCACATGTAAGGCATCATGATACTATAGTCAATAGCCCTATCCATGCAGTCAAAAGCCGAGTTCCACTCCTCTGTCAACATAGCGGACAAGGCCCTGCATATGACTAATGAGTGACTAGGACTAATGACAAACAAATAGGAATGTGTTAATAGGTGCCTTTAATTTTTTACCTAAAGATGCTTTGAATGTGTCCAGTTATTGTAGACTTGTTATCTACTACCATATTTTGAAGACTGCATTGTATCACTGCTTTACTTTTGGGTCAAGATAGAAGCAAAGCAGATGTTGAGCAGTTCTGCCTTCTTTTCGTCATCCAACAGCATTCCTCACAGAGGACCTATTACTTGCTTGTTCTTCTTGTTTTGAACATAGCCAAAGAAACCTTTTAAATTGTTTTTAACCTGTCTTGCAAGCCTGAGCTCATTCTGAGCTTTAGCCAGCCTGCTCTTCACCCTGCAACTGTTGGCTAAGTCAGCAGAGCATCTTAATCTCAGGTTTGTGGATGTGAAACCCACACTGGGCAAAAGATCCCTGCATTTCAGGAAGCTGGACTAGATGGCCCTCGTGGTCTCTTCTACTCCATGATTCTATGATTCTTTCTTGATTTCTCCTTTCTTCTATTTCGTATACATTCCCTTCTTACATCTCAGTTCATCTGTAAGCTCGTTATTCAGCCACATCAGTTTCTTTAGGTGCCTCTCACTTTTCTTTCTTGTTGGAATTGTCTGCCTTTGTGCCTTCACTATTTCACCTTTCAGAAACTGCCATCCATCTTCAACTCCCTTTGCTATGAGTATTTCTTAGAGTCCAGAGTGCATGTCTGACTACACTCAGCTTTCCCTTGTCTGGGTATACTGAAACCCATGAGGACATGATCACTTGCTCTCAACGTTCCCCATGCTTTCACTTCATCAGTCAGTTCCTCCTGACAGATGTGGGGAGGCTAATATTCTTGCATTCTGGGTACAAGCAGCAGTAGTGAAAGCATTTGGGAACAGACTGGGAGTGCGATCCTTTTCCGCAGCCACCAACAGCAGGAACAGCTGCCACCTCCAACTGGTTCCTGCTTCAGGCAGCTGAATGAATGAAATTGTTCAGCCATTTTGTTTGTTTTCAGCTATGCAATGTTTAGTTTCTGTTTATACTGTATGCTGCTTTGCAAAGAAAGAAAGAAAGAAAGAAAGAAAGAAAGAAAGAAATTATAGGAAACAGAGCAAAACTATACAGTCTTTCTGATTGGCTAATGAATTAGGAACAGTTTATATAAGTGACACTTGGAAGCAACATAAAAAGAAGTATTTGCTGGATCAGGCCAATGGGCCATTTAGTCCAGCAGTTTGTTCTCACGGGGAAACTTAAAAGCAGGATTCAAGGAAAATAGCACTCTCCCCTCCTGAGGTATCTAGCCAGGTGCATATGAAGTGGGGGACAGAGGGGGTGGGTTTCCCCGGGTGCCACTCTGGGGGAGGGTGACAAGATGGCCCCTGCCTCCCCCCAGCTGTAGAGTGGCCGAGGGCGCGCGCAGTCCATACGGGCTGCTATTCTTGTGCGTCTGTACAGGCTGCCTCTCGCACGGCGACTGTATGGGATGCCGCACATGCACACTCAGTATGGGCTGCCCCACCCCAGGTGCCGGAGAGGGTTCCTCTGCCACTGTTTCTAGCAACTGGAATTCAGAAGCATTGCTGCCTCTAATAGCCAGGATGGAAAGTATGGCAGGGGACTTAGATTCCAGGGACCAAAGAAGCTGAGCTGAAAGCAATGGGGTTGGAAGCTGCACCATCTATAGACTAGGATGAGCTGAAAGAAATTTCTTTATTGCTAAGACTTGGCTAAAGCATGGAAATGGTTTAGACAAGGATTGTATGAATGTCTTTCCCTCTGCTATTTTCCAGAGCCCATTTTCCAGAAACAATTGCAAATCCCCCACCCACCCCAAAAATTAATTTTAAAAAACTTCCATCTGGATAGAAGGTTCCAATTCTTCAGTAAAATTGAAATTTATTATTGGCGGGGCATTGGTCTGGTGTTTTGATCTTCAGTCATTACCATGTCTGATTTTTAGCGAGGTAGCTAGGATTAATATCAGAATTACAGATTATAGATGGCTGCTTCAGTGAAAGCAGTCAGGAAATAAAGATGTTCATTAGGTGGCACTAATAAGAACCACAGGAGTGGTTATGCTTCCTAGAGTTCTTGGCTCCTTTCCTTCTCCCAGCAAAGGCTACTGCCTGTACCGCATAAAAGGAGTTTCCCTCTTGGATCTATTTTTTCATATTTGCCATGGAATGCCACATCATAATGATTACATAATTAAATAATTAATCATGTCCTCACAAGAAAAGGACTCCACTATTATTGAACTCACTAGTATAATGATTGTCTACAGATCTTACCTATAATATTTGGCTTGGAGTATTATCTTGGTATTTTAATTATTATTCTTCAACTATAATATTGCTCATATTTAATATTAGTATTTTATTATGTTTCACCATCACGGAGTCATTTTTTATACCAATGTTATTCCCTGGTGGATACTGTCCATTTAACTAAATCTCTGGCAGAAATTGCAGCTTCAATTTCATGATGAGATGACATTTATTTAAGTATCATTTGCTTCAGTACAAGAGGTTTTATCCAAAGATGACCAGAGTTTTATAATAGCTAGGAATTAAATATGAGAAAAAAGCAATTACAGCAAACTGATTTAAATGCTTCATCCATTAGTTTGTTAAAGTAAGTAAATTGTGCATCATCCTTCTGAGTGAAGTGAAACAGCACCAGCTGATTAATCAACAAGTGTGTGTGTGAATATCATATAGAAAACATTACTCCTTAACGCCAAAATGTCCTCTTCATGAGAATTATTATTACATTCTAACTGCCTCACTTAGAACTTGAGCATATAAAAACTCACAAAGCAGTTTTGAAAGCAAAAATGGACAGAAGTATACACATTTTTTCTGATAAAATATGTGTGCGTTTGTATGTCTTTGCTTTTTTATATCTGGTATTCACAACATGTGATCAACAAATATTTCCCACCACCCATGTATGGTGACACAAATGAAGTTCCTGTTTTTGCCTCCCTGACAATTTATGAATTACCGTATTTTTCGTCCGATAGGACGCACCTAGTGTTTTTCCTTTATTTCCCCCCCAAAACCAGGTCGGGGAAACTGAACCAGGTCGAGGAACAGCGGGATGGCAGCGCTGCGCCTCCTTGCTGTCCCCCGAGCTTGTGGGGCTGGCCGATGTCTGTCCGGCACGAGGGGCGCTCTGCTTCAGGGCGTCTATCGCGCCGGGCGGCAGGCTGCTATCCGCAGCGTGGGGAGCCCTGCGGGGAACTCCCACAGGGCTCCAACATGCTGCAGATGTCTGCCCGGCGCGAGGGGCGCTCTGCTTCAGGGCGCCCCTCGCGCCGGGTGGCAGGCTGCTATCCGCAGTGTAGGGAGCCCTGCAGGAACTCCCGCAGGGCTGCCTAGGCTACGGATGTATTCCCGAAGCGCCGGGCGCTCGGCTTTCAGAGCGCCCGGCACTCCGGGAAGCAGGCTGCTATCCGCAGCGTAGGGAGCCCTGCAGGAACTCCCGCAGGGCTGCCTAGGCTGCGGATGTGTTCCCGAAGCCTGGAGAGCGAGAGGGGTCGGTGCGCATCAACCCCTCTCGCTCTCCAAGCTTCAGCGAAAGCCTGCATTCGCCCCATAGGACGCACCCAGATTTCTCCTTCATTTTTGGAGGGGAAAAAGTGCGTCCTATAGGGCGAAAAATACGGTACTTAATTTAGGTAATCACTGATAAACACATGGTCTTGGTTACCTTTAAAGATTATCAATATCTAAATAGTGTATAGATGTGCCACATTGAAAAAGGGAAAGTAATGAATAGATTGAGAGGTGCAAACTGACCCTGAGATGCCTCAGTAGTCTTAAGTCCAAGCAGACAGGTTCCATTTTATCAGCACGGTGAGTAAATTTCTCCCATGTTGTGCCTCTTTAGTGTGGCAGTGACCTAGTCACCAACGCAGTGGCTGAGAGGTCCTTGGTACTGGTGAAGGATGCTCTGAGTCTAAGCACCATCACTGAACCAAACACCTCCCAAGCCCAAGCTGGTATAGGTCCCCAGAATGCAGATGCCTGGGACCCCTGAGCTTGGACCAGAAACTGTAGCTCAGAGAGCATTCAAGGCCTCAGCTGAGAAGCTTTCCTCCAAATAAGTTGCTTGTTCTCTGTCCATGGTCCTGAAATACATGATGCTATTCTTCTGCATCTTCAAGGAAACTAACTTTTATTAACCACTGCCTTAAGTAAAAGGGGTCACAATACAAAGAAAATTAAAGCTGCATCAAAATCTGCATGTACTGCAATCCCATCTCCATAACCACTGGCCATGCTGGCTGGGGATGATGGGAGCTGGAGTACAGCATCTGGAGGGCCATAGGTTTCTTATCCTTGATATATGGTAGAGTGGTATTATGTCCTACTTTACAAAGGTCAGTCCTCTATTTGAAGGTATAATCTGATTTAAAGATAAGGACTCATGAAAAAGAAGAAGAGCATGATGCATTAAGTCACTCATCACCAGCTACCAGCATCCAGTCAGAAGACTTAGCAGGTTCACAGGTCACCTGATGTCTTCCCCTCCATGGTAAGACACACTGTATTTCTATTTAAATTATAAGAATTTTTTTCTTAAAATGCCCTTATCTGTAAATTGCCACATGAACATTTATCTTCTCTTTTTTTCTCTCCACTTCTTATTTTTGGCAATATACAACTGGATATCCTGGTATACAGCTCTATATTTACCACTACATATTAGTTTCATATTCCCCTATGAAGTAGTTTGTGCTGAGAGGAAGTGACTCCCTGTAAGTTTCTTGGCTAAGTAGAAATCTGAACAAAAGTTCCTCACACCTAAATACAAGGCACCCTGCTGGTTTCATGGATGAGTTCCTTCCCAATAAACATTTTTAAAGCCAGTATGTGGGATGTTAATAGTCTGCATGAAAACAATAATCTGTAATATTCAAAAGGTGAATGATTCTTCACTGCAAAACATTTGTTCTGTTGTTACCATGTAACATTTGTACAGTTAAATGTAACACACACAACTATGAAAAGCAGTTTTCAAGGGATATATATCTAAAGAAAGATAACAAAAAGCACCACATCTTCTGGGGTTCTGTAGGGAAACAAATGATATTCTCAACCAAGAAGGTAGGGATACTCTGAGCTCCAGAATAAATGAATGCTGGCTAGCTTTGTAAAGCTTTTCTCTTTGGAATGCAGAGATAAAATCCTGGCCAGGATTCCAAAGAGATGGTTTTGGTTTTTTTTATATAAAGGCCAGTTTTGTTGGAACATAATTCATTTAAAAAATGATTGGCCAACCTGCAGGTTCTCTTGTCTACAAATAGATTGTATTTACAGTTGTGTCAAGGGAGAGAATATTTCTCACAGGTGGTCATAATTGGTGGTCTGTCACAATAGTTCTGCTGCCTATAAAATCATTGACACAGTGCGTATTACAGATCCAACATTTTTAAACACAGAAAGAGATTGTTTGTGTAAGTAGGGAATTCATACAACTGGTGTACACATTAAAAACCAAACTGGATCCATATAGAGGATTAAAAATGACTACACAAATTAGTGCAATTTTTATATTTTGTGTGAATCCATTATCTGTGTTTTACTTGAAAATGTGTATTTTAGAAATATGTGCATTTACTAAATGCCATTAGTGTAGTGTTACTAAATGGCATTAGTGTGGTGGGGGATCCTTTGTAGCAGAGAAATAATTATTTACATCCAAAATAAAAAGGGAAATCATAACTAGGGGGAGGAAGAATTCCCTGACTTTGTCCTATATGCCTCCTGAGAAGGTAAACCAGTCATGTGAGAATGGTTATTAGCAACATTACTTGATTGTGAGGCTGTTGCTGTCTTTATAATGACCTTCTAATGATGATAATGTCAGGGAACTAAAGAGAAGAAGGTGAGATATTCAATTATAGCTGCAATCAATCTAAGCCAAGCTGTTGCTGATAATTAAAAAAAAAAAAGCCCAACATGATTGTGCCGGGCCATTTGGTTACACTTCAAAAGTTAAATAATGACTTTATGGTATTAACTTGACACTGAGAAATAGATTTAAAGTTGAAGATAGGACTACTTAAAGCTCTCAGAGTCAGTTCTCATGTTGTGATTAGATGCTTATTTCCACTTTCAGTTATGAGGTGCAGCCCTGCATTCCTTGCAAGATAAAACAACATATTTGGGGGCACTGTCAGATTCCACACTGCTATGCAGAAGTCGGGAGCTGTGAGCAGTATTTTGCATCTTGTTGCAAAGAATCTTGAATATTGCTTGCCAATACTTGGGAGTAGGCAGGAGAGTATATAAGAAGGCCCCACCCATATCCTCCCTTCTTCTGTTGGAAGCTGGACCTCCCTCCAAGTTTACAGTATGAAATAACGCAGTATGGGGCCAAGTCATAATTTTTAAAATCATAATCTGCAATCAGCCTGTAGAGGGGATCTTCCCCCCTACTCAATACTGTAGGGTGGGGCTGGAGAAGTCAGATTGATTAGTTTGGTCACTTGGCAGGTGTGAGAAGGAAAGAGAAGAGGCTGGTACTACAATGGTACCTCAGGTTACATATGCTTCAGGTTACAGACTCCGCTAACCCATAAATAGTGCTTCAGGTTAAGAACTTTGCTTCAGGATGAGAACAGAAATCGTGCTCTAGCAGTGCGGCGGCAGCAGGAGGCCCCATTAGCTAAAGTGGTGCTTCAGGTTAAGAACAGTTTCAGGTTAAGTACGGACCTCCAGAATGAATTAAGTACTTAACCCGAGGTACCACTGTAATGGTGAGTACTCTGAGGAACTGTTCAGATGAATTGTGATTCCAGAGACTAGCACACAGGGCTGTGGGATAGTGGTGCATGGAATGGATTATTTGTGACTAATCCATGTCACCCTCTGAGTTATGAGTCTCTGAGAGAGCGTGGTGCAGAAATGTATCCTTACTTACCTGAAGGGGTATGGCATGAGAAGAGAATTGGAGTTATGCCCACCTTTGCTCCCTGCAGCATGGGCTTACCCAATAATGTCAAGTCTAGGAGCCTAGTTGTTACAATACATTTCCCACATGTAGGAAATTCTCCTGTGTAGATTGTCAGATCTGGTAGCCAATGTTCTAAGCATTCTTGGAAAACAGTTAAACGAAATTCCCCTGGGTTTTTTAAGACATCTTGGAAAAGCCATACTAATTATGATATAAGACAGCAGTGGGCATCACCTATCACTGTTATTCAGGGCATCCATTTGAATATATGGGTTAAATTATTAGGAAAACATTGTGTATATATGCAATGAATAAATACAAGTAACAGGCCTCGCTTAATATTTCAGCTGCAGAATCAATGTATTCACACACACAGAAAACGGCAATTCCAAGGTGACCTCTTATATAGTTGAGTGGTATTTGACATTTGTGTGTTACTGTTGGCTAAATTCTATTATTGACATTGAACTCTTGAGATCTTTGCTCTTAAATTGGTCAACAAATGATTGCTTTTAATGCACACTCCCCCCTTCAAAGTGACATGCTTCTGGTGCTACTATTTCACATTACCAGCTATGAAAATCAATTTATCTGATGCATGGTTGCCACTGATGTATCCCATTTACTAAAATAACTGCTTTGGCTAGGAGCAAACTCTGTACCATTGTACTAGGTTCAGACATATTTGATCACAGTTCACTTCCCAGACTGCCATGAGTCAAGGAGACTGAAGGTGTGTGTACTTCAGCTGAGGTACATAACTTCAGTAATCACTATGTGAGGACAACTGATCCTTCTATCATCAGTATATTGCTAAACATGCACATCTCTTTATAAAGAGGATCTTGTTCTAATGAACAATGTACATTAGTAATAGATCCAAGCTCTGTTGTCCTGTCAAACATGGCCTTGAAGTTGAAAGATAATGGGCACAGCACACATGTAGGCAAAATATCCACAAAAATGCAACATTCAAAGCTGGAACTCTTAAGCAAAATATATATAGCTTTCATGTGTTTCAACAATATGTGTGGTGGGGCAGATTCTTCCCATTCGGCACATAGATGTGAAAATATAGCACATAGACCCCAGCAGTTATTCAATGTCAATCTCATGTGATAAGCAAACTCTCATATGGATCCTTTATATAAAAACTTAACATTAATTTGTTTTTAAATGATATTTTCTTGAAGGTAAGGGTTTTAAGGTTTGATCTTTAGTTCTTTGCATTTCTGAGCTACCGGTACAGTGATTCTTAGCTCATACATTTCGGAGCAGTCCAGGTAAAGAAACCAATGGAACCATTGAAGAGTAAATTGAGGATTGCTTGCACAGAAGAGTAAACATGATTAATGCTACAAAACCTCCCATCTGTGATGTCCCCTTCTCCCATCTGTGAGGTTAGTTGAACTCAGAAAATGCTCTGTATATTAAAACAATTCCCCCTTCTGCCTCTTTTAAATGTAGCTCTTGTTTGATGTTGGACAATTTTTTACTTCAGTTGCAATGAAACTCTACTTTGGGTGCCTTATTCCTTTACAATGTGTGGATTTATTCCTTCAAGAAAGACAATGCTTTGAGAAAGTTTCTTTTTGTCACTTGCAAGGTTGCTCCAGCTTTTAGGAACATCTGTAGTCAATGGGTTGTATCCAATGCTGTGAGCAGTGCTCCACACACACAACTTGACTTTCATTTCCTCTCCTCTCCCTGCACTACCACCACCCCAAATCAAAATCTTTCCAAAATACGCATACAGACCAACACATATTTTGGTTCATCACTATCTTGAATATATATCTTTCTTCACTGGACACGGATGGGGCTCAATAAAATGACTATTCTCTGAGGAAGGAAAATCACCCAGTTTTGAAAAATAATTGCTGTGAGCAGAAAATCTCTGAAAGCAGCAACAACTATAGAAGAATAGAACCAGACACAGTACATGATACAAGAGATAAGCAACTAATTACTGGAATGTGCAATGGGTTCCCAGCAGTGAAAAAGTTATTCAGCCAGTATAACAGAAGCTTATGCTTATCTGCACCTAAGGAAAGAATCTTTTCATATGCTATTATGTTTAATCAACCAAAGAGGTGAGATCTTGGTGACAATCTCCTTGTGAAACTAGTTATACTGAAGGCTAATTCAAAGACTTAAGTTGTCAGGATTGGTTCAATGAAGTGTTACTTTCCCCTCAAATTGGTACTTCTAAAAAACAACCCACATTGCATTAAATGCCCCTTTTAAGTTCTTGTAAAATGACAGATAAGCTTTAAAGAGATTTAACTTACATATACACAAGTTGCTCCAGCATTACTAAATACAGTGGTACCTTGGGTTACATACGCTTCAGGTTACTGACGCTTCAGGTTACAGACTCGACTAACCCAGAAATATTACCTCGGGTTAAGAACCAAGAATCCTCCCCCCCACAAGTCACAAGTCAGAAATGCCGTTTAAATGACTTAAGCTGTGGAGATAATTTTCTAACCAAAGCATGTTTTAAGGAGATTGTGGAAAGCATAAGAGCTTTGGAATGACGCAGCAAAAAATAGCGTCGCCATTTTGACAAGTTCTGTTGAAAGACTTATGTCTGGGAGGAGGAACAGATTTGTTTTTATATTGTGGGTGATCCTCCTCAGAGGGACTAAAGAAGGCGACAGATTTGCGAGACTAATGATGGAAAGAGTGCTTTTATTTATGAAAGTGATGATATATGGAAACTATCTCGACATGATGATTGGACAAACGGAAAAATTCACACAGGATTATAACTGGTGTGTTTACCTACTTAAGGAGATTATAAGAAGAGATCATAAAGAAAAAAAGAAAAATATACAAACAAGATGAGATGTGGGAACAGCAAGATAGGACTGGATAGAATTATGAACATTATTTGGACAGATTTGTGGATATTAACGCAGCAGCAAGAAGATGATTGGAATCCCCTTCGGAACTTGAAATATGGGTCCCCGCAACAAATAATTTAATTATTTGTAATTCGGAATTTATGTGATGTGATTTGATTTGATTTGATTGGTCAGTTAATAAAAAATATATTTTTTAAAAAAAATAACTTTGCTTCAGGATGAAAACAGAAATCGCACAGCAGCGGCAGTGGGAGGCCCCATTAGCTAAAGTGGTGATCCAGGTTAAGAACAGTTTCAGGTTAAGAACGGACCTCCAGAACGAATTAAGTTCTTAACCCAAGGTACCACTGTACAACAATGACTGACTGAATTTTACTTTAGAATTTAAGTACTTATATTTGAAGAACTTGTGTATTTCTATCTAAGTTACTCCAATATATGTATTTTGTCCAGTTCTTTTAGCTTTTGCTTTTCCTTTCTTTTAGTTTATCTGTGTCCTTAGGTCAAAACATTGATAATTCTTCAAATCTGGAACTGAATATATTTCTGTTGAATGCTTACAAGAGGAACATTATTGTCTGTTTCCAAGATAGAAAACAATATCTGCCCATGTCTTTCCCATTCTCTCCCTCTTCCATTTGTTATCTTCTGAAAAGAATGTACTCACTCAATAGCATTAAGGTTTCTCTTGCCGACAGACCGAAAAGCCAGTGTTTTCATGTTATAGACCAGCCACCCCGAACCTGGTGCCTTCCAGATGTTTTGGACTATAATTCCTGACATCTCTGCCAATTAAACATACTGTCTGGGGCTGGTGAGAGTTGTAGTCCAAAACATCTCGAAGGCAAAAGTTGGAGGTTGTTATAGATCATAAGCTATATAAAGAAAATCCTGAAATAGTTTCTGATTCAGGCTTAAATCATTTCAAGAATTCCTTGTGTTCCTTCTATGTCTACAGCTATCTTTCATTCACATTGAGTCTGCTGAAGATGCTTTGGGTTAAAATGACAAAGCATTGTAGTACCTAAAAGACTAACAAATTTATTAGGATGGTATAAATTTTAGATTAGGAACATAGGAAGCTGCCTTATTGTATTGTTTATAGACTGTCTGGCAGAAGCTCACCAGTATTTTAGACAGATATCTCTCCTATTCCTCCTACCTGGGGATGCTAGGGATCAAATTTAGAACCTTCTGCTTTGCAGCAAAGATGTTCTACCACTGAACTACAGCCTTTCTTTTAAACACAAACATGGAGAACCACTCAGATAACTACATAACGCATAGGATTAACCTGGTGTGATTTTTTTCATTGTGCTGCTGCCTGATTTTATTTATACATATTTCAGATGTGTGCCAATGGCTTGAACAAAATCAGTAGAGAGGAACCAATACACAATAATGTCTAATGCTTGGCCACAATCCTTCACACACTCTATCCCTGTGGACATCAGATCATATTCTACAAGGAAATATTATTTTCTCACAGGAAAATGTTGGGTACAAAGCAGGTGGTGATGAATGACCAAAGATAGCAAAGTGTTGGTAAATAAGTTGTCCTGACAAAATTACAGACTTTTATCATGCCATGTGTTTTCAAGTTTCATTTGATTACTCTCAGAGATCACTCCACATTTTCCCATGAGTGCTGGGTGGATCTACAGTTTTCTTTCACAGTTGGTGGACAAGTGTTATTAATGAATGAAAGGAACTGAGACCATCAAGACACAGCTGACTAGCTGAACCAAACCATGACCCTTCTAACGCAGTGTCCTATTTTCAACAGCTACTAGTCAGATGGTTGTAGAAACTGACAAGCAAGACAGGAAGGAAATAGCCATTCAATGGTACCTGTTCCCAGCATGCTTCTGAATTTGTTTCTAGTCTGAATTCACCCTGATTTGTCATTTACTGTTGTAACAATTGTTTTCTCAAAATTTATCTTCTGTACCATTAACCCGAATAAAAACAATATTTTTAAAAAAGTAATCTGTAGATAATTTTCTTTCTTGGGGATAAACCTTTGATGTCATGTTCCTGGTGAGCCTTGAACAGTAACTGGATCTGTGCAAACAAAAGTCCAACAGCTGGTGCTGTTGGGTTGGAACATGTTGAAAAGGAGAGACTGGAACCAAAGACTGATGTTTCTGGGTGACAAAAGCATCTGTCCCTGACCATTCCAAGTCTGACTGAAAACAGAGTGGGAGCTAAAGCAGGCCTTGTTCTCCAAGCATCTTTGTTCCAGTTTGGAGCTGGAACCATTTGCCCATGATAGATGACTGAAGATCACTACAAACCCTTCTCTCTTGTGAAAGCATTGCATCTGCTTTCTTCCCCAAGGCCCTGTTCTCTTTCCACTGTGTGCTTTACTAGTTCTGTTAAACAGAAGCTTCTCACAGAGAACAGATTAAGGAGACTTTTTGTTCTTGCATCAGGATGAAAGAGAGAGGGAGAAGGGGAAATAATGTCCTAATGTTAGACAGATGTCTCAGTAGATAAGCTCTGGGACAAATTTGAAGCCAATATTTGAGTGTACTTGTGCTTAATGCAGCAAGTATTCACAAAAATACACTGTAATAAGCATATGTTATATACAAATATGTCACTTTCTCAGGAGAGCTCATTATTTCTTTTGTTCTTTAGGTTTCTAGCACATTCTTCAAGTACATTATCAAAGCACTTTGCAGTAATGTACTTAAAACACATTAAAAACAGTTAAGCTATGAAAGCAGCATGAAAATTTCAAAATTGTTGAATTAAACCAGGTGAACAAAAATTAAAATAATGCATCACCTTTTTCTAATGCTATAGAATACCTCAAAATAAAAGCCCCAGTTATCCTAGTGGTATCTTCTTCCTACCCTAATAGAAGGTTTGAGTCCACAAGCCATGGTTAGAATGCTTCCATAGCCAAAGACAGTTTTTGAGATAGGCATTTTACCCTTTTATGAGAAGTCTGCACCAAACACATGCTTCAGTCCATGCACCTCTTCAGGACTTTGGAGAAGTGTCTATTGTTCATGCCTACTTTTTAGAGCTCTGTCAAGCTCTACAACAGACTATTCCCCCAAATCTACTAACATGGAACATAGGACACTGCATTTTACAGAGTTAGACCATTGGTCCATCTATTGTCTATATGGACAGGAAGCAGCTCTCCATGGTTTCAGGCAAGAAGTCTAGCCCTACCTAGACATGCTGCAGATTGAGCCTAGGATGCTCTAACACTGAGCTGCAGCCCTTCCTGCTACCAATGGACTAAGTCAGGTGAGTCTCCTACAAGCTAAGGAAGTCACATGATTCTCCTATAGAAAAGCTGACATTTGATTACACTGAGGCAAATTAAGAAAAATCTTCAGAAAGCCACCAATAGTGCATACAATTCCTCTCAGAATGAAGATGAGATAACTGTCAGTCTTCAGAATCCAAGATTGTACACTTATTATATAACAGGAAATAATTCAATAGGATAGGAAAAGGATATACAAGGTGTTTCTGTAGCTCAGTAGACTATATGACTGGGTCACATGGGATTCTTATATTCTGAAAGAAAAAGGAACTTAACCTTCCACTCAGGGAACTTACTGCATGCATCACCAATGTGGTAACATATTGCAATGCCTCACCTATGCATCAACATAGGAATGACCATCTCAGTGCTCTAATAACACAATGCAACAGATAGGCACTTCACTAAGTAGTCATGTTGTGTATTTCTGCCCTATATGTCTTTGATTCTTTCACTGGAAAAAGGAGACTACTTGCTGTTACAACAAGGAGGTTGAGTCTTTCCTATTTCCTTCTATAGAGATGCCAAGTGGAAACCTTTAAGAACTCAAAAGCAACAGATTTTAAGAGTATTATAGTCTAGAGAGTCTAAGCACACAATTCAACTAAATTTGAAATAAGTATCCCCCATGAAGAGGTACCTTGGTAATAATAAAACAGCAGGAACACTGACCACTTCAGTAAATCTACTGGCTATTTGTCCTTTAGTGAAAAGTTCAAGTTTAACTTGAAGCAGCTGCTTGAGCTCCCAACAGAAGAAGCAATATGTATCAGCATCTATTCAGCAAATCCCTTTCTTTAATAACAACTAATGGATAGTGCTTTCCCCCCTCCGCCCTAGGAAGTGATTAATGCAAAATATTGGGGATGTCATTTTCGGGTCAATTGGAATGGGAATCACAACCAGTAAGTTATAATTAATTGTACTATGCACTGACTCAGCTAGTTTGTCCTAACGATTTTTTTAAAATTAAGCATTTCACAAAAGGGAGGCAGGAACATTTCCAGTGAGTAGAGTTAGAGGCATAACATGTGTGTTGCACAGCAGATTAAAATAATGTTTGCCAGGTGTGGTATACAGAAAATGGAGAGAGAGAGAGCATGTCAGGACCTGAAAGATCCGCAGTTGTTTTCACCCTGTTCACATGACTGGTTACCCAAGTGAGGGCATAAAGGTTGTAGGCGCAATGGGAACTCACTATGTTGTATGGGAAGTTTCACTGTGCCATTCAAGATGGCCAGGGAATTGCAAAACATGGGGTGTGGGGTGCCAATAATAGGATGAGGGGAAGAAGTGGCACTTCTCTCAGCAATTGGGCCCTGGGGTGGTGGTGCAAAGTATGTGAAGTGCATAAGTGTCATGCTCAACAGAACACTTGCTTTCTTGATGGCATATGGCCCAAGATGGTGTGTGTGTTTCTAGAAGAAGAAACAAGGTCTCAGGACTAGATGAGGTGGATTGGCATTGACACAAATGGCTGTCAGGTTTCATGATCATTGTGGCCTAGGTCCTACAAATGCAGTCCTGACACAGTGCAGCACTGGTAAAACATATAGATACCACCAGCCATTATGGACGTCACTGTGGTGACTAAACTTCACACAATGCATAATCTTGCAGTGCTGGGCACTTAGACATTACTTCCAGTTGTATGGGTCATCTACATATTCCATGTAAAAACCTTCCAGTTTTTTCTGATTCTACCCCAGGCTCCCTGTGACATGGTAGAAAATGAACCGCCATGATAAAATGCAGTTCCTAAAATATATCAATAAAATAGTAATGCTAATCAGTCAGTTGATTAATATTGGCGAGTCTGCTTTCATATGTACCACAAAAATAGAGAAATTGTTTAAACTGATTTGTTTTCCTGTGTTTCCCCCCGAACTCTTTGGATTCAGTTAAATATATTTTCTTCCACTTCACACATTTTTAAGACTAGTAATTTATAGAATGAAATGTGTTCAAAATATGATTCCCGCCCCACTGCTCGTTCAAACGCCAGAATGCTGAGGGCAACCTTAGTATGGTTAACTTTCTTTGTAGGGGAGGACATTGGAATCTTGTTACAATCTACTTATTGAAAACATTAAGAAAGAATGACAGGAAAATAGAAGCCAGCACAGGCCATGCAAGGTTCAGGTCCAAAAAGCTTAAAGTTTATCAGACAGCTGGTGCCAAGCCTTTGGTTCCTACTTCCAAGGCAGCCAGTTTGAAACTGCCAATTTTTTCTCTCAAGCAGGATTTTTTTTTTTTTGTTATAGGTCCAAATACTTTGGGGTAGGGGTGGGGAGAGACACTATTCCAGCTACCTAGCTTTTTCCAGCCTTTTGGCAAGATTTATCTATGTATTTTATTTGTGTACATTATATTAACTTTTAAATTTTAATATGATTATGTACACATTGTTTACACATACTGCACATGTTGGCAGTGTTCTTAGACATCCTCTGATTAATCTAATGAATCCCAGAGCCCCAGGGCTAAATGGTGTATCCAAAATAGGAAACATTCATTAAAGAACATACATTGTATTCTGTGAGGTGTTCAAAAACAATGATCAATTGCCCTACTGCTGTCTATTACTAGACTTACTCTGGATTTCATGAAATAATAGTTGGGGGGTGAATATATCAATCTGGGCAGTGTGGCAACACATAAGAGACTTCAGATATTGGATCTCAGGTGGCCATAGAATGGGATCCATATTTTATCTGGGATAAGGAACAGAGATGTTGTTAAGAACAGCTGGATTTAGACAGTATTTTGGATTGATATTTTGAATCTCAACTGGTAAATGACAGAAGCAGTCTAACATATCAAATGAGATTTTAGCACACTCTAAAAGGAGGGTAGAGGGAATATTCAGTCATGCAGGGTGAGATCTTTTGCCATGAGTAAAATTGAAACAGGATTCTATCAATGCTTTCAATCTGTGTGGCAAATGCATTGGGACAAAGGCAGCTGGTTTAGATACCCCAAAAGGTTTTAGAGAATTGAGCCACATGGAATTAAAGAGATTTCAAAATGGATGAACACAAGTCCTGTCAGAGCCTTCCTAAGCCTTAAAAACAGTTCAGCATTTGGGTAGGATTGAGACTGTGGGGTTTGTTTTTATTCTTTCATAGAGAAGAAAGTGTTGCCTATGATGCTTGCTCCTCCTCCTCCTCCAGTCCTCCGATATATATTTTCCTATAACATGTTACGATTTCTCTGTCCTTGAAAGAAGTTCAGACCTGACATAGTGGGTGCTCAAGGAGTCAAGCAGGTGGACAGAGATGAGTTGTCCATGAACTACCTAAGTAACAGGACCAGAGAGAAAAGATCAGATGGAAACCTTGAATTACACAGTCCCTGCCAGTAGTGGGTGGTGGGGCGGCAGCAGTTACTGGATCTCTCATCACTATGACTTACTGCAGTTGAGAGTGGGAAGAGCAATGTTGACAC